AAATGCAACAAAAGCAACAAAACTGAATAAAATATAATTAAATAATTTATTTTGAAGCTTTATGTATTTCTTTTGAAGAGTCAATGACATCTGAAAACAAAGTTATTGTTCCATTGCGCTGTTGTTACACACAAGAAGAAACTATTCAGCCCATCTTGCTAGTAAGTAAATAATTTCTCCAAGCATGTCATTGAGCCATTTCCTGAAAGAAAACATGGCTAGATACTGTAGCTTGCTCCATACTGCCACGATCCTTTAGGTAAAGTGGAGCCTCCTGCTCTCAATTTTAAATATGTGCCACATACTGTTGCACATGAGTGACTTTGTCAATGCCTTAAAGAGTTCTGAATTCTTTTTCTCAGTTCAAGACTATAATATATAGATATGTATGGTTATGTTCCTTCAGCCTGTCAATGCCAGACATTTCTTGAAGCCCCAGAAAGTATTCATTTGGTTTTCTCTGGACTGATTCCAGAGCAACAATATATTTTCTCTAATGTGGTGACCAGAATTCTACATATTATTCTAAATAAGACCTTAGCAGTAAGTTATTCTACTTAAACATAACATATCTTGATTTAACTTCTAAAATTGTATCAATGTACTGTATGCTAACATTTTTTGCCTTTTGAATTGCTTCCCACCTTTTCAAGATATAATTGATGTTAAACACCTAAGTCTTTTTTCATAAGTAGCCTCTTCTAGCTCTGTCTTTCCATTTTTGTGATAATATTTCATTTTTTTCCTACCTACAGTGCATTAAACGTCATCTGTCAGATGTTAGCACAGTCTGGGATTTTACCTTTTCTAATTTCTTTTGCTGCTTCCAGATAGTTTGGTAATCCTACTAATTTGATATAATCTGAAATCTTGATTAGTTCTACAAGCTAAACCAGAATCTAGAGCAAATCAGAAGCAGTGGTCCTACTGTAGTACTGATCCTCCTGGTACTGCATTAAATTACATCATCCACCCCTAATCTGTACTGTTGTTTGTTGCTGTTGTTTCTCACAGAGAGTTATGAGGGCTAATCTTGATGGGTGGGGGTGGGTGAATGATGTTACCTCCTATAAAAAACACCTCTTCAGGACAATCTTTACAGCATTCAACACATGTGCATTCCACTCACATAGCAATTTGTATACCATACTTATTAATTAAATAAATAACATTTTAATTTCATTCTATTACTGTCATACAGGATTCAATATAAAACGAAATACCATTCTGAACTGTATTCACAAAGTACTATATAATGTCAATGTGAAAAAAAATCCACACATTTTACTAAATAAATTAAAAATAAAAAACGGAAAATAATTGAATGCATAATTACTTTTTGTTGATGAGTGGCAAAAAGTCTCAGTTAAATACATAATGGTTCCATGCTGTAACACAATAAAATGTGAAAAAGTCCAAGGGGGGTGAATACTTTTGCAAGGCAGTGTATATAGCACTTTTCTGGACACTCCACTCAAAGTGCTTTACAGGTAATGGGGACTTCCCTCCACCACCACCGATGTGCAGAATCCAACTGGATGATGTGCCAGCAGCCATAGTGCACCAGAATGCTCATCATACATAGGCTATTAGTGGGGAGGAGAACAGAGATTCATAGATGGGAATTATTAGGAGGCCATGATTTATAAAGGCCAATGGGAAATTTGGTCAGGACGCCAGGGTTACACCCCTAGACTTTTCAAGAAACACCCCAGGAGGGATGGGTTAAGGAGGGATGCAGAATGATGCAAAAGAGAGGGGGTTACTTTGGTATTCATACGTTTTCATGGGAAGTGTCTCTGAGAAGAATTAGGAGTGGAAGCAGAAGAAGTGGATAAGACCTTGGGAGATACTGTATCATACCTTCCAAATGTTTGTTAACACCTCCATAAAGTTTCAACAGGATGCTTTTATTGGGCGAACTGTAACGTTGCAAAAGCCAAAATTATGGTTGGACCCTATGCGGTGAACGGTTTAAACAGAGGAACAGATTTTTAGCAAAAGCCGGGTGTACTTATCCAAAGGGAGTATCTGAAGTCGTAGTTGTAGTAAACACTAGTCAGTAACCCAGAGGATCAGGAAGCAAACAGCAGACAGGTAGCAAGGAAACTCTAAAGCCAGGAGTCTCAGTGGGAAACTCAATACTGAGCGCTGAGATGTTTGGAAAGAGTCCTTACTGTAAGTACTCTGGTGTGGTGGTGACTGATTGGATGATTGATTAAAGAGTCTGCATTTGTGGGAATTAGAGGAGGCTTGTGTCTGATTGTATGACATGAACACTCTGATGATACGAGGCCTTACAATGTGGATGTGTTTTTAGTTTATACAAGGACAGTGTTGACTAGCACTATAGCAATTGCAACATCCTGAACTACATACTGTGTGAAATGTGCAAAGCCAAGCAAGCTGGAAAAAGATCCTATCAGATAAATACACAAAAAGAAAAAGTTAGAGAATAGTTATGATATAGTCAGTTGTAAAAATGCCAGAACTAATACAGTATATTTTGCAATGCTTTCGTCAGAAATGTGCTGATTATTTTTTTAATTCAACATTCAATGAAATGTGCAGTAACACAATGATGCAAACGTTTTTTAACTTACGATTTTTAATAAACCTGAATGTTAAAACTTAAAACTTCTAATGGAATTATAAGTTGCAGTAAATGTCAGCATAACTAAAGAGAAGAAGAAGAAATATTCTGATTGAATAATATTTGTGCCAGAAGAACCTTTCTCAGTAATTACAGCTACAAGTCTGTTTGGGTAAATCTCAACCAATTTGCACACTGGCTCAGCGCAATTTTTGCCAAGCTCTCTCAAGTTCCTTGGAGATCACTTATGGACAGGAGCTTTCAAGTTTTCCACACATTCATTATACTTAATTCTTAATTCAAATCAGGACTTTAACTGGACCTGAAGGACATTACGTTCTTATTTGTAAGACACTCCAGTGTAGCTTTGGTCTGGTGGATTGTCCACAACCAAAAACTCATTATCCTCCTGAAAGGGGAATTTTTGTCCCAGTTTTAGGTCTGATGTGCCTGAACTTTGCTCCATCTGTATTCCCTTCAGTCTTGACAAGCTTTCCAGACCCTGCTAATGAGAACCAGAGCTACAGTATAACATACAGTAATGCCCCCCTTCTTCCTGACAGTAGGGATGCTTAAATACTTTGTGGCAAAATCCATGTGGCAGTTAAAATGAGTTTTCCACACTGCATTACAGGCCAGCTTTGTGGAGTGATCCGAGGTTTTTTTACTTCTGCACATATTCTCCCTTCTCGGCCACTGAACACAGAAGCTCTTTCAAAGTCACTGTTTACTCATTTCCTGGTTAATCCATTTGAACTGACTGCCTTATCTAGACAGTGTCTGGATGTCTTCTACTTCTTAATGATTTACTTCACTATGCTCATAGGTATTAAGTGTCTTAGAAATTGTTTTCTATCTTTCTCCTGTGTCCTGTGATCTGTGTCGGTCTACAACATGTAGAAAATCTGTGCCAAGTTGTTTTGAAAGCTCCTTGGTCTTCATTGCTGAATCCTTTCCTTGAAATTCATTACCTGTCTGATGACCTTACAGAGATCATCTTTTCAATCATTCTTTCATGTTAATTATCTAATCTTTTTGTTTTGTGCTTTGAATGTGTGGAGTATGTTGTGTATATAACATATTCATTGCTACATCAAAGTGTCATAACGCCCAGGTTTAAAGCATCAAAATGTGATAATTGTGCAAGGGTCTGAATACTTTTGCAAAGCTCTCTATACATTTATCGTTCGTATTCTATTTTGGTACCAGGACAGCAACATTAGATAGCTACAAAACTGAAAGCTGACTTGAGATAACGAGTTATCTCAAGTTAGCTTTCAGTTTTGTAGCTACAGTATCTAATAGCCCTTCTTTTAACATAATTAACATAATTATGTGTGAGTGTCTAGATAAGCTCACAAACTTAACGATGTGAAAGTTCAGTGAAGCAAGGAAAAAAAAGGTATTAGTACTTTATATGATAGAGACTGGAGACCAGGAACAGTATGTACTGTATATGCATTGGAGAGGCCTTGTGGATATACAGTACTGTTTGCCATGCTTAGAAATATATTTTTTGATGGCATTGTTTAAAGCCAGTTTTATTACATTAAATGTCTACATACATATTTCGATACAATGTTTGAGAAAGCATTTAATTATAGGGGAAGAAAAACTTTATCATTATATTTTTATGCTCTCTCCATTCGAATTTTCCTCTTTATTAGAAAATACAGTTCACATTTAATACTTAACATTCCTTTAACTGTCAGTTTGTCTGAAGTTGTGGAACCTGAACTGGTCACAGAAATGATGCCAAAGACATTGTGTTCCTAACAATTTTGATTTTTGCATTTTACAAAATTGATTATTTGTTGGAATTCTCCTGTTCCCAGTGTCGAGTAAAGCACATAAACTCGACAAATTAATGAATGCAGATCCATTTAGACCTCCTGGGCGGCCAGGGTTAGGTGCAGTACGGACCGAAAAAGAAAAAAATGTGAAGAGAAAAAGGAAAGAGGCAGTCTCGTTGTTTCCTCTTTCTACAACGACTGATCTAAATCGGTCTTTAAATATTATCTCATTTCAATGTACCGCACATTTCGTCCGGTTATTCTGTTACACCTACTGTACGCTGCTCAATCAAATAGAAAATTACACAGCAATCCGCTGGGTGCACAGAAATACAGTACAATGGCTTCTGTACATACTGTATGTTGCTGAGACTAAAAAATAAACCAAACATTTGTGTATGATCTACAGTAGCATGAACTGAGGAAGTCTGTGAGAGTTTTCATTCATGGTGCAAATGTAGCCTGCAGCATGTTTAATCAATGCCCAGTTACCCGTCAACTCGTTCAGCACGAAGTAATACAGTACGGAACAGACAAATAAAAAATCAGTTTTGCTTGTGTGTGTGTGTGTGGATGTGTGTGTTGGGCGGTTGAATTTTAATTATATTAACCTTATTATTTTTATTATTATAACCTTATTTGATTAATTTGGTATGCCATTTGGGCGACGCCTGGAATTTCCCAGTCCAACAAAAGCCGACCAATTCGGCCACTGTAGTGCTTTGGATCTCATTTAATTGACGTCTGTTTCGCCTGTGGCATTTGTTGAGTCAAAGTGAAACTTCTTTATTTACAGTACCGTAGTGAAAGTCGCTACACTACAACAAAACACTATGAGCACGGAATGGACTAAACAGACGTAGATTTCTTTGTTTTTCTGTGTAAAAAAAGCTGTTTTGTTTCACTCATAAATTTTTGGACGTACTGTGGTAAGTAGGCAATTTCTCTAAGTCTTACCAAGTGAGCGCAAATACCAGTATTCAATTAACTTAGACTGTAATTAACAGTGTATAAAACGGTGTGCAGAACAAATCCCCTTTCCACAGCACAAAGGTTAAATGGAGTTAAAGAAATGAGGCTAATACAATCATGTGCTACTTTAATTATTTTAACATGTGCCTTAGAATTTCTTTTATTGCAAATGAAATATTTAATAGACTTTGTTACCGTAAATGAAGCATGTAATCTCCACTAATTAATAATGCATCAAAATAAATACTAATGGCCTCAAATGTCTGGCACAAAATGAGCACAATTTTAATTTCATGATGTAGCTTTCCACTTATAAAGTTTAGAACTAATGCCTTTTGGTTCAATATACAGTACTGGAACCCCCTGGTGAATGGTTGTTATTGTTGTTGATGATGATGAAAATTCCTAGATCCCCAAAGTTTCCTCTTTAACTGTGCTTCTGTACTTTAGCTTTGGAATACCAATATGTTATGATATCTCCAAAATACAATTTATGACAATTTTGACATCAAAAACCATTGTAGTTATTTTCTAATTATGATCCTACAGATACGTACAGTAGGTTTTCAGAACTATATTAAATTCTAGTAGCAGTTCATTAAAATTGTATTCTACATAACTCCAACGACTCCTGCTAACTGTTATCATTGATTTCTGATGCAGGGGAGTAAAATGATCAAATAATTTATTGTAGACTGTTTTGGAGAACTAAAAGTAGACTTACTAAGTACCCATAAAAATATTTTTTTTATAATCTATTATTAAAACTGATATAAATAATGAATAAATACAACTGAAGATTGTTGCAGACATTTAAATGAATAATAAGGCATTAAATATACATATGCAAAAATATACAATATCTGATACAAACTAACAATCACCCAACCTTTCATTGTGAAGCCTCTAAAATGAAACCAGGAAATTTAATTTTTACATTTAAGCTTAAGCTTTCTTGTTAATTCGATTATATATTCTTTCATTTTCAAGAGCATGTGTGAAAGAATAGATGTCAAGAGAGTTGTAACAGTACTGAAGACACCTGAGCCTTGTAAATACTTAAATTGCTGCCTTTTATTTTCACTTTTACAGTGTTGTTGGGCCGCACAGTGGTGTGGGAATTAGGGCTGAGGGGTCCATACTGTGTGGACATACCTTCTGTGTGGAGTATGCACGTTCACCTTGAGACATTGTGGATTTTTCCTGTGTGTTTCAATTTCTTCCCGTCTCCCAAGCACTTGCTGGCTTAGTTTATTGGTGTCTCTAAATTGCTCCTGTATGTACTGTATCCTGTGATGAACTGGTGTCCTTTCCAGGGTGTCCAGGGTGACATTCCTCTTTGTATCTTATGATTTCTGGATAGGCTCTGCCACAACCCTCACTAGGAATAACCAGCTTTCAATAACAGAACGGGAGTGTAATTTACTTAGTACGTTTGTATAAGCTGCTTTTGAGCACAATCATTCTTCCACTACTTAAATGATCAATTTACTTATAAGATGTAGATATAGGATTCTAACAATAAATATTTTGAGACATTCAATTCAATATTTCTCTTCATCCCTGCCCTTCTTTCCAGTACCTGTGAAGAACAGCTATCGATTCAGTATTTGGTATATGTAACAATGGACAATACACTGAATTAAGCACATAGAGATAGATGTTCCAATACATTCCTGGGAAAACACCTGTGCATGGGGAATGCCAACTGGGTATTATATAATATATTTCACTGTTTTACAGGCCGTTATCTTGGGTTAAAGTACTTTATTAGGCTCTGTCGAGTAATGTAGACTTTGTACTGCGAAATTGAATTTCTTGCCACCACTTTCTGTCTTTTCCAAAACAGTTTATGTTTTATAATGTTTTATACTGTACACCATCTCCTTTCATCACATAGGGCAATAAATCTGGCTCAAATACACTCTAGCTGTTACAATACTTAACTGAAGTACTGTATGCTAAGGTTCATTGCAACTAGCCTAATTTAGAAGATACCATAAAGCCTCAATAGCATGTTTGCTAAAGATCATGATGGATAAAGAAAGAGCACTTCTTATTTATTAATTTATTGTCTTGGTATGAGGAAACATTGCCTGGCTATATGAACCAAGTTAGAACACCTTAAAAAAAACAGCGGATTGCTGTGTTGGTGGTGGCACTTGCATAATGGAGGCTTGTTAGTGTGATTAATGCTGGGAAATCATGGTTTTAAAGCATGTTTACCCCTAAACAGCTGGGGATTGCTGGGAACTACTTCCAAACTTTCAATTTGAACTCTAATATTTATAAAGAGTCTTATTTAGTATGTAAATTGTATTTGCAAAGATATTAAATCTGAATTGTTGATTTTTGTTTCTTGGCACTCACTGTACAACATCTGAGTTTATATAGTTATCAGATATACACAAATGCTAGGAAACTGACCTGAGAAAAAAGACTGGCAATTGTAATGATGCTGTCATGGACACACATTGGAAATTAAATCTAAAATAAACAGGATGAACATTTCAGTCTATTGCAATGATCCTTTACGTTGGTCATAGTCCAGGTAAACAAAAAAAGTGGACACTAGTGTGAAAATACAAATAATATTAATATTGTATGTAGTCCAAAAATGTAGTACACACTTTTTAAAGATGTGGTCCTGGACTTGTCTTTCCCTTATATCTTTCCCTTATGTATAGAGAGGACCAAATTTAGTTCTTCTGAATAGGTCAACTTAGGTTTATAACCATTAAGTGCTTTTAAGCGATAATAACAAGGTTGTTTTTGTAAAAGTTACTAAATAAATTAGTAGGCTACCATGTTTCCTTGGATATGTCTGGAGTTTAAACATTTGGCTCATTGAAAAAACTAAGAATGTTTATTATAATCATAGTTTGTTGAAGATTAAATTCTGTGTAATTTATTAATAATCAATTTTAACTTAATTATGCATTAGCTGAGGACTGACAGGACAGAGCAGGACTTCTTTTGTTTACCTGAAACAGATTGTTTTTGAAATTGTTGACTACGGAAAACAGTTTTAAGAGACTATGACTGAAATGACATTTGTAATCATAGCTAAGAGAGGGCAAGCTACACCTAGAACTGGGACTCAAACATCACATATCGTTAACTATTTTGGTTCTAGAATTTGCAACATCAAATGTAATATTGTAGTTTGACTGGATTTTCCCTGGAAGGATTTCAAGAATCTTGCAGATAGTGAAAGCCTGTCCACATTAATTCCACTTGAAAATGTCCCATAACACCGCCTCTTCAGCATGGGAGAGTGATCCTGATTGTGCTTCTGGATGGGGCTGCCTTCAGTGTGGAATTTGTGCTGCCATCACTGTGGAAATTGCTGGGTTTTGGGGGGAAATTATCCAGCCTCACAAAGATGTGCTGGCTAGTTTAATTGGAGTCTCTAAACTGTCTCAACACTTTTTGTTTATCCAGCCGGTATCTTATCTTAAGATCTTACTAGAGCACATCTTCCTACTCAAAACCTGCTTGACCTGTCTTGTTAAGAAAAAAAGCTTCCATTAGGCACGTTTCATTTTCTGATTATTAGTTTCTGAGTTATTATCCATCTGTTTTCAATAACCACTTAATCCATTACAGGGTCACAGTAAGCCATAGTCACAATCTAACCCAGCAGAAGATGAGAGCAAAGCAGGATACAGTACATCCTGTACAGTACACTGGCCAGTCATAGGGCATAGTCTCCAATGGGGCAATCTAAAGGACTAATAAAGCTAGAAAGCATGTACTGCATTTTGCAGTGTAGAGCATGTAAACATCATACAGAGGCAAGGCCATTTCGAAACTCAGTAACCAAGAGCTGTCAGGCATAAGTTCTAACTATCGCAGCACTTTGTGACCCTGAGTTATTATTTTATCAAACCTAATGAACTCTGGAAATTTGGCTTACCTTCTAATTTTAGAGGTTAAAAAACAGGAATGTATGTAAGGAATTTCCACCTGGTTTATAAGTGTATATTGTTATATTTCTGTATTTATTCTTTCAGAACAGGAAAGATGATGACTGAATCTGCTGACAAGATGAAGTCTTTTTTCTTCTTTGCTTCCCTGTTTTTGTGTGTATTACCCCAATCATCCTCTTCAGGAAGTGAGTGTTCCAGTACAATATTCTAATTCTGTCCTGTCTCTGAGTAAGAACAATGGTCTGTACAGTATGTCTCACTGTTATTGCTGAAGTATTAGTTCAATATTTGAATATTTGATTTTATGAGCATCTTTTTGAATAAAATTATTTCTATGTATTTATTGGCAAATGTTTATAATCGATTGTGGCATCTTTCAATGAATAGTTGACCTTGTCAGTGTATCATAAATCCAGGCTATGGAAGTAACAGTAAGGTTCTAAAGTTGGTACTGTACATCAGAGCTTGGACACACAGTAGAACCCCTAGAACATACCATATACTAGAACAGTTTGTTATGAAACCAAAACCATAAAACCAAGATGAGCTGTCTTGAAACAGAGCTTCCAGTAGAAATATTTTATTTTCTAATTTGTTTCAGCATTACTTTCTGAGTTATTATCCATCTGTTTCTTTTACCAATTTGCATACTCCTCCTGTGACCACATTTCTCCCACATTGCTAAATGCATGCTTAATTAACTCTCTTAATTGTCCCCAGCATTGGAATGTGTGTCCTATGACTGTCCGGTGTCCTGTCCTGGTGATTACAACTGAGGACATATCAGCTTGAGCTATTTCAAATATGTGTGCTGTATATAGGCTTACTGTATATCTGTAAGACATCAGCAGATTCTGCAGAATTTATGCAGGTTTGGTTAAAGTTGAGTAGACTTGTATAGGTATCACCTGCATGGCATTCAGAACAATATTAAATATTATTATTTATATTAATATGTATGCAGTATATTATGTTAATATGTGTCCTCCTGCATTTTCAGAACATTTTGTTTAGCAGCCTTCATCTCACAAAAACCTATTGTAGGTCTACATGTAATGGGGACCAGCGTTTTGACAGCTAAAAATGATAAAACCACAGAGAAAGGGATTTCTGTCATTTTGGATCTGTTCATTGAATAATATTAATCAAAGCAAAAATGCTTTATAGTAAAATAACAAATTACTACTTACAATTACTGTAAATATTAAATATCTGTGTTTCAATTAATGCTAAGCCCCGTAAGAGCCTGTGATATAACCTTTCATCTCAAAAATATAATTAATATAGAATCCTTGCAATAGAGGTGTTATTAAGAAAAAAGGATATCTACAGTATAGGTACCTGAGACAAGTGTACTGTAGGTGTTTGTTTTAAATATAATAAAACTTTTTTACCTTAAAAATCCAAGCATCTGTATGGCTGTTTGCATAAAATCATATTCCTTTTTTTGTTTCCTGAATTTTAGAGTTATTGGAGCTCATCTGTGCTGATTCTACTGGAGAATACAATGACGACACTGTAATTAACTGCACTCTAAAAAGTGTGAGAGATGACATTGTTGTCACAAAACTGCTGTGGATGCGTGAGGCCCTGATGATTTTAAACATTACACAGTCGTACGTTGTGGAAATGGATAGTCGTGTCCGATTATTCCACCAGCCCTGGGATAGCAAGAGGAAGGATGTATCCCTACTGATAAAAAGAGCAAAATCCCAGGACGAGGGCAATTATAAATGTATGGTAGTAACAGATGGGGGTTATGATAATACAATTGTGAAATTAAAACTCCAAGGTAAATATGGTTATCATTTCATTTACCACACTAGTTACCCTGAAATATTAAGAATTAACAGGAAACCCTGGATTCAGGCCATTGTAAACGTTTTTTTCTACATTTGTGGAGAGATGTTCTGAGGAAATAGTTGCATACAGTATGATGAATTATTTTAATATGATTTAGATGCAAAATGTATGTCAAGAAAAGTTAGAACTTGTCCTTTAAATTAGGAAAAGAAACCATACTGGTGTGACAGGTTAAAACTGACACTCCTGCCTGCATGACTGCAAGCCTTTGAGTGTCAATGCATTACTGTTTCATTTGGAAAGATTTCAGCAAAAAAAATCAGTTCCACAATTCAACACAAAGGAAGGATAAATTTGACCGTCATAAAACATTCGTTTTATTTCTCCATTCTGAATATGTTCTGTTCTGTGGATCAAAGTATTTGGGAATGCCTGCTAGTTTAAGGTTGCTACAGATACGAAGACAATGAGGATTTCACTAAGGTGACAGCTAATTCTACTCCATTTCATTTTTCATGGCAGCTCCCTACAGCACACCTGTAATAGTACACCCTTGGGCTGATAGCGGGGTCGCTATTAGCTCTGTGTCCTGTATCTCTGAAGGAGGTTACCCCAAGGGGCAGATCCAGTGGTCTGATGAGAGGGGCACTGTTGTGACTGAAGGATCAGACCTTCAAGTCACACAGGCCTCTGACGGCCGCTACTTCCTGAACAACACCTTGACTATCAGCAGGGAGCTTATCCACAATTACACCTGCTCTGTGATAAAACAAGGAGTGACTGAAGGAACAGCTGTATTAACTTCTGGTGAGCTCCCCCATCCTTACCAATGTGATATACAGAGATCAAAACATTTAAATAGTAAAAATTATACCCAAAGCTGCTAAAATTCTGAATTTAACTACAGAAACGCAATGGTATACAACTGCAGTAACCAGCATAAGATGTTACATACTGTAAGTGTGGTGCATAGTTGATCTTGTTCTTTATTTATGACCTTGAAAGTTAAGGATTTTTAAAAGTAGATTTCAAAACAGATAACAAACAGCATAGTCACTTACAAACAGAGATGCAAGCCAGTGTTATGTATATTGCTATAAACAGTTGAGTTAGTAATAGTTACTTCTGACTTTTTCTGATTTGCAATTTCTCACTAGCCAGAATCACATTGCAGAGATGAGGCATTTCTGCTTTTAACACAATCATGTGAGAACCTGATCTGATCTGTAATTTTGTAAGCATTATTGAAATTGTTCTCCGTAAATGCTATGCAGAGTCATCAAAGACAATACTCCTCCTGAACCTTATCATGGTGTTAATGATGAACAACTAGCTATGAACTCATAAAGGGATCTAAAAATGAATGCATGTGGTGAAAATATAACTGACAGAATTATTATTAAGCTCTGTAAAATCTATTTTGTTAAGATATCTGATTTGCTCAATAGAGCAAAAATAAATATATGGAGTTTTATACAGAACAAATTGACATTTCCTGTCATTTTTTTCACTTGGGAACAAATGTTTTACTATCAAGTGTATGGGGTAACTGAACATTTTTGTATTGCATAATACTAGTTATTCATAATGCTAGAGAATTACAGTATTGCTATGACTCCTCGCAGTCTTTACAGAAACTACTGTTGGGAAGATTATTTTATGTTTAACAATAAAGAAGACACAGCTATTCTCATGTTAAGATACTGTAACTGAAAATTGTTTTGGTTTTATTGTATTTTTCTGAAACAGTATTGCCAGGTTCTGGAGATTCAAAAGAAAGACTGGAATTTACCGCAGTACCAAAACCAGACCGCACAAGATGGCCGCTGATCCTGACTGTATCCTCACTTGCAACATCTGCCAGTTTCTTGCTGTATAAGATCTTCAAAAGAATTCAGCACAATACTGATGGAGGTGCAGTGTATAGCTGTGTTGAAAGCAAGTCTAAAGTTTTCCTTTTTTAAAGAAAATATATTTAACCATGATTGATGAGGGAATCAGGGCCACTGGGATATACCACATCTATACAGTACATGTACTGTATTTCATACTGTATGTCATTAGAAAAAGAATACATTTTTTTCTTAAATATAGGGAAAATAAGCTTACCATTTGAAGAATAAATTAACTAATTTATATAGTTAATGAAGAAAAGCAGTTCAACCAGAAGGTGACAATAACAGTAATTCTAATTTCCCTTTCATGCTTTTCATTCATTCAGCAGGACTAAATGTTATCACTGGATGATCATTAACACAAATGCTAAACAACAAGATTGTTGGAGGATCTTGAATGGAGCACCTAGATCCTAGAAACTGGACATCACAGGTTAACAGATGGTTCACTTTTGAGATTAGCATCTTCTTTTTAATGTTTTTTAATCTCCTTTTCATTTTTTCATTTTGTTCTTGTCTGTTGTATAATGTCGATTAAAGAGATGCAAGACCATCCAAATCAATTTGGATTTTTAATTTAATATCGCAAGAGCTTCCACATTGGAGCCATGTTATAAAATTGCTGGGGCACTGTGAAGTTCTGGACTGCAGAAGTTACCAGTAGCATTACTACTGTATATCTTTGGAAAAACATCGTACAAATGTTCAGCATGTGACAATCAGAAAGGGTTTAATCATATAAGGTCAGTTGTGGATTCTGTCAAGGTATCGTCAGTTGTGACCCAATTAACCATGTCCATCAAGTTCAAATGCATCAGAAGACAATGAGACACACTACCAGGGTGTTATTATAGCAGTGATGCCTGGCTTCTCACACAGCTCTCCTGACATATCTGTCTTGGACTTTTGTCAAAAACAATTTTTTGACTGTCTTCAAAAATCATAAATCAGTGATCAGTCATAATTTAGCTACAGAATGAATGTGTGTAAACTTGTTTCTCTCTTTTTTAATTTAGTCTTGGTAATTATCACTGCCTAATCTTTAATACGTAATGATTTATTGTTCAGGAAGTAATAGATCATTCCTATAGACTTAAATGAATATACAGCATCCTTTGATTCAACTAGAGTAGTTAAACTACATCCTAAGATGGTTTCAGCTTTTCTGTTTGTTAAATTAATACATTTGTTTGAGCTTGATTTCTGATTTTCTGATTTCTGCCCAAAGAAAAAGAACTGGCTATACAGTTTTGACAGTTTGTTAGCACTCAAGGTGCATTTGCTTGCCTTTTGCAACATCTCTTTGCTTAAAAAATTAGTTGTGTTACATTAACACCGTATAGGAACAAGTAATAGGTTTATGCCATGCTGAAAAAAAGAAGAAGGAAAACACAACGTTTCGGCCGTGGAGCCTTCTTCAGGTGAAAGGCCTCTCAAACTGTACTGTACTTTTATTTTTGATGATTTTGTAGAAGTATCAAACAATCATGATTAATGTTGCTGTGTGTGGCTTTAAACTTTGACTTTAATATTTTTATAAAGTAAAATGGAAAATTAAAAATATGCAAACAGATTGACTGTTCATTGTCCTTTGAATTATTGTTTTAGTCTGTTTAATCTGAAGAGGGCAGTAGAGATGCCCAAAAAAGTGCAGTAGGAATAAAATTAAACAAATGGGCTAGATGCTAACATATTACGTATAATATTGGTGGTAATTGTAATATTTCTGATATTTGTGACTTCTTTCAAATCGATAATTTCATTAATTCTGTAAATACCAATAAGGTGAGAGTGAGAGACTATCCTGCAACTTCTTAGGTCCAATACTCTACTCAGTGTTATTATTATTATTATTATTATTATTATTATTATTATTATTATTATTATTATTATTATTGTACAGGAAAGTTGATTTGTTTTCATTGCACCAGCTTTTGTAATTGTTTAATTGAACTATTAGCAGTAAGTGCATTTCTTCTTCCACATTCAGCTTTGTTTTTGTGACAGCACACAAACTCTAGAGCGCTTTCTTCTGCTTGCTTGGCAACAGATAAATACAGCTTCTAATAGGAACATCAAGCAAGTGTAGCACAGTAAAAACATTATGCTATTTATACTGTCGCTGATCTCATTTATATTGATATTCCTATCAACTCTTCCATCCTTCGATCCATCTTTTAACCACTTTATCTAATCCAGGGCCATAGAGGACCATGGACCGGACACACACACTCACTGCAGGGTCAGCTTTTACAGAAGTCAACTAACATCCCAGTATGCAATGGAACAAGTAAAGGTTTATTCAAGTAAAGGGGCTTCCGAAGAAGGCTCCACAGCCAAAACGTTGAGTTTCTTTTCTTCTCTGAAATAAAATATTTATTAAATAAACCTTTACTTGTTTCTTTACAGCCTACGCTTGCTGACGCAGCTACCTACTTGAACTATAACATCCCAGAGTGTCTTTGGAATGTGGACGAAACCCAGAGCACACTTAGGAAATGCAAATTTCACTTAGGAAATAGGAAATAGGAAATGTCCTGCCATCACAGGGAGAACATACAAACTCCATGCAGGACAGGTCCAGGTTCAGAATTGATCCCAGGACCCCAGGACAAAGCAAAGCTAACCTCTGCGCCACTACAGTAAGCCGCCCTCTTGCATATATACTAAATCCAAATTTGAAAGCCCACTACTAGGTGGATTTGTATTTGTAGGAGAAGGAAGGTTCCATAAAAGGATTTATAATTTCTCATGGTAGGAGAATTTATAGGAGAAATTATCACTTATTGCAGGTCCTAGTTACAAAAGCTGTTTTCAGTGAAACCACTTAAAGTCATGTAAAAAAACATCTCTGAACATTTTATACCTAAATAGCCTTGAATTGCTACAGTAGCCTCACCTCACTGCAGTAAATTCTAAAACCATACTGGCAATATTTCTTAATTTTTAAGAAATTCTACTTAGGAACCACATTTGTGAGAGACAGTTATCAAGGAGTCATGTGATCAGATACTGTTGTATTATTGAGTAATGAGTACCACTAGTGATAAGATTATTTTTGGAGGTGTCAAAAAGGTGAGTGATTTTCTGACAAAAACCACAGACTGTGCAATGGAACACAGAATGCCCATAAAAGGTGCCAAAACTCTTAAATAACTGTTCATCACAGAAAAAGAACATGTTGACGTCAGCACAGTTTTGGCAGATAACCTATAATGGCTGACTGTGCTGAATTGATTATTAAAGCCAATGAATAGAAAAGTCTGTGAATTTTGCTGAATTTGTTTAGTGTTGAGAACAAGGAGGACAGTCATATATACAAGATATACTGTACAGTGTTTCAAAATCCTAAATCTCTTCACAGTGTCTACCTAATGTACAACTTCAGAATTACACAAAGAATTATGTGTGTCTGGTTCAAACTAGAGAGTCACATCCAAAAGTCATCAAATTTATCCAAAAGTAGGATACATATTTTCAGAACTACCTACTAATACTCAAACAAGTTAGACACAGCAATAGTTTCCCTTCATTCTGTCTTTTCCTATGTTCTAAGTTAGAGGTTCCTGTGCTCTTCTTTTAATTTCTCTTGAGCATTATACAATTATTATAATAACCCATAGAAGTGTCAGGATGATACTAAAGAGTCATGTCAAAGAATATTAAGCCTTCTGGTCTTTTAAGGGTATCAGAGATTAAAAAGCATTAATAAAATATTACAGAATAGTACAGATTGATTACCTCTGTAATGAGATTTAGATATTGACCTCACTTCATTTCCAACTTGACAGCATTAGCTTCCGACATGCTCTGCCAAGAGGGTATTCAATAGGTAATGTTTTTCAACTTAATTGCCTAATTTTTAGCAGGTTAGCCACAAGCTGTTTTGAGTTTTTAGCATCATAGGTCCTGTAATTTAAAAAGAAATGACCAAAATTATTCAGAATTCAATTAGTATGAAAAGCTGTGTGCAGTACAGTGGTTAGCATTGTTGCTTTGCATCACTGGGGCACTGGGTCCAATTACAGATTTGTGGTACTATCTGTGTACAGTTTGTGTGTTCTGCCTGTATTCGCATAGGTTTCCTCTGGGTACTCCGGTTTCCTCCCACAATCCAAAAACTGATAAGTTAACTGGCTCCTGGGAATCTTAGCTTTAATGTGAGTGTGTGCATGTTTTAGTATCTATGTGTGCCCTGTGATAGACTGGCATCCCATCCAGGGTGTATCCTGCCTTGTGTTTGTTGCTTGCCAGGATAGGCTCTGGCTGCCTCACAACCCTGAATTGAATGAAGTTTTTAAAAAACTGATGGATGGATAGTATGAGAAGCTAGTTGGGTTTGCTATTAGCTGTTTGTTTAAGGCAAGAGACATATCCAGGCCAGGAAATTATTAAAGGATTAATTCATCGAATTGCATTCATACTTAAGCTTATGGTAAATGCTGTAATTTTCGTGTGGTTAAAATCTAAAAAAATAAGGTTAAACCAATTAGAATTAGGCCAAAAAGAATTTGGCCTGACTCAAAACCAGCAGATACTTCATATCTCCAGGGACTGAATCTGACATCTGAATTGACACCTTTGTGGAGAATCTCTAAGTGCTTACAAGCACCAGATCTGCATGAGCAAAAAAAACCTCAAGCAAAGACATCACGGGAGAACAGAGACTCTACTTCCTGAGAGTTAAAGGGCTCTCACACCACACCACCCACCTTGTTTTCTTTCATTACACTCTTTTTTTTATTCAAAGCAGCCTCTGTCACACTTAAAGAGCTTATGTGAACTGATCTGTGGTAGTTGATTTGCAACCAAGGTGACAGAGACATCTTCAAGATGAAAAGAATGATGACTGTCCTGTGGATGTTTTTCATCACCTTACTCACAGCACAGTGTCAAGAAGGTTAGTACTGTCTCCTTAAATGTAATTTTGCGTGGCATATACAAGACAACTAAATTGACATTTCTGAGCCTATTATAGCTAAAATACCTGTAGAACCGTACTGTTACAGCTGTGGTCATGATTGCATTGAAACAGCTTTCAATAGGTATTGACAAAACTCCTGTCTGTCTAGTATGAAAACAACAGCACCACTGTTTGATCTTCGACTTTTTAAGATCCATTGCTGCATATGGTGCAATGGGCAAAGGATAACTGAGGAAATCTAGAGAAAATAAAGTTAACCAAAATGTTGTGCTTTGGTGTAACCTGTAATGTTTTATAGGCAAGAAATATGTTCAAATTTGATCTCTCTTCACCTCATAATCTGAAACAGCTAAAGAGCAAATAGACTGAAAAAAGACCCTTTCAACCTGGGTGCAGAATGTAAGAGCATGTACAAGGTCATTCCCAACCACGAACAAAGCTCTGAACTGGGTACAAGCTCATGCAAGCAGAGCTGATCCTTTTTAGCTTTGATGTCTGCTTCTTCTTTCAGTGAAAATAGCCTTCATTTTAAAAAATGAAATGAAAATGCATTCCATTAAACACGCAGGGAAACACACCATACCAGACACTGACTTTTAACTGCTGCTTCTGTGTAAATGTTTGACAAAAAAGCATTCATTTCTTAATAAACTATATAGATCTGGCTAAGAGGCTCACACCTGGGTTGCACAGAAATCAAAGTCATGAAAGAAAGGAAAGAACAATTAATTAAAAAAATAATACCACAACAGGACGGGACATAAGAAAACAGGAAGTGACGGTGGACAACAGTGTATGTTTCAAGTCTTAGTCACACAACTTAGATCAAGCTCAGAACTGTATGATACTCAATCTGCAGATTGTTCCAGCCACTGACAGTGCCAAAGTAAAATGTCACAGATAATTGCATTTCAGTTATTATTATTAAATTGATTTTAAACAAGAAAGTTATTGTCTTGTATGGAGAAAGGCCCAGTCAATCAATTCTTCTTCCACATGCAGTTTTATTTAGAATGGCAACATTAAATTTCCCCATGGTCCATGATGGGGAATATGGGCATCTGATATAATGTTTAAGGCAATAAGTCCAATGCCTTGTTTCAGGGAGCAGCTCAAATTAAAAAAAAGATCAAGACAGAACTTAGTGGAACTCCCTTAATAACTGGAAGCGGTTATAAAACAACTGCCTGGTTTTAACTTTTCATACACAGTTTAGGAATGAATTCTGAACTTTGCCAGGGAGTTCACATTGAGTCCAAAACCATCAGAAGAGGTTGGTCAATGTAAAAAATCTTAGTCATACAACTAAGGTAAGCAACCATGCACAAGTGGAATGGATATAGCATGAAAGATTGTGTTCAAGCTCAGGGCAGACTTCTCCCTGTATTTTTGTACAAATATACATATATTGTTATTTTTTACAAATAACAAATGGGAATGGTAGCAGGGCTGAGTCTGCCCAACGCAACCTACAGTAGGCTGACCAGGAGTGGAAAGAATACTGTGAGAGGGTGGGAAAGGTTTGATGAAGTAATTGAAAGCTTACATACAGTACAACAAAGAATTTGAAGGCAAAGGGAACTGAAGTACTTCTTTCATGCATTTTGCCATAAAAAAAAACATTTTTAAAAATTAGGAATTAGTCAAATACACAGGTATTGTGTCAAATACACAAGTATAGCGAAATTCCTAGTAATGTGACAACTGTTTTGTAAGAAAAAAATTGCAGCTGTTCTATTCGTGGGATATATTCCTAAATGTTAAAAATTACTAAGACTTTAATGTGGCGCAACAAAAGATGTTTCACTTACGTCAATTTGCAGACACAATTAGCTGAATTTCTAAAAACCACAGCTAAACTTATCAATGTGGCATTTTTCCTTCCGTTTCTTTAGTTTTTTAAATAGCTTTACTCTACATTCCGAGAAATACTTTATTAAAACAGTGTGTCAATGCACTGAATGACCTAATTCTGCAGCATATCCAGGATATGCAGCATATTCTTATTCCGTAATTAGTTAAGTTATGAATGACACAAACAGGTGACAGTAATTACTGTAAAGCAGAAGAAATATCCTGACAACTTATATCTGTTCGTTTATCTGCTGATCTCTATAAAGGTACAGAAGATTTAAATCCTATAGGTATTTCATGGGCAGTTTATTAATGTATTAACAGATAAAATTTTATCATTGCAGATTTATTATTTTTTAATATCCATTCATTTCCACTTAGAAAATAACACATAAGCATTTCAATGCTGTCATGTAACTAAAACTAAAAAAATAAAGTTTATTATTATTATTATTATAAAACGTCTCGCAGAAAATCCGGGCAAGGAATAGATGCCCAGTCATTCACAGTGTACAACACAAATGTTTTGAATTAAAGGTGGTAATCCTATTTGTTGAAACTGTAAGGAAAAATAACCTGGGTTAATGGAAAGTGTCAGTGGTTTTAAGAGCAGAGAAACAAGGACAAGGAATTTAGAGTTCAGGAAACTGACAAACAGCACTGATACCTGAGTCCCCGGCTGTCTTCAGCAACAAGGCGCACTTCCTGTCGTGATCCCTGGGGGTTAATTGTGTGGTTAGTCAGACTTGTGAGCCTCTGCTCTACAGCTTGCTCAGACTCATCACACCTTTCTGAATATCCTGCATACCAGGACTATGTTTTAATTCTGTTTCCTGTTTTGTGAACTAAACTTTTTGCAGGACAACTCAAAGTTAAGGCTGTACTTAGGAAAGATTTACACTAGTTTCTATATACAGTATTTGGGCTTATATGATGTTTTTAGTGATTGAATTTCTTTTATAAATATATATTTAAAAAAAGCAGCTGTAGTAATGTTGTAATACTGTACTTTAGTATTTTGAGCACAGTAATAGTACAGCAATAATATTAATAACACTCATTAAAATGTATTTAATTAGTAAAAAATCTTAAAAGTTTAACAGATTCAAAATGCTGTGCTTCATACAGGTAACTATCTTAAAGGTATTAATGGGTACTCATATTATAAAAAATTGTTAACAAAATGTTTGCACAAACACAGTGCTTTGGTAAGCAAAGACAATAAACAAAATCTATTTTTGCTAAAATTATTTTTTATTGACTTAACAAAAATGAACAAATTATGAACATTCTGAAACAGCTTTGTGAAATACCATAGCTGTTCATAGCTGGGATATACTGTACCAACATCTGTTGTATAGAATGAGAATACATATGTCTTCTGATTACTTCTGATTACTAGTGTTAGCAGCAAGAGTATTTCCAGTTTTTAGACTGCATGCTAACCTATTCCATATTGATTTCTCTGTAGGACCCAGTGTCTCCCAAATGCCAGGTCTAATATCCCAAAAGGAAAATTCCTCAGCCGAAATCCGATGTGCAACATCTTTGAAGGAAATGGATGGCCTGTATCTGAGGCGTCGCTATGCCCAAAAAATGGATGTCCTCTACGTGTTTCTTTCAAACATGACGAGCACTGTAGTTAATCAGTATCAACACCGGCTGTCTGTGAAAGGCCAGTGTTGTGATTTTGTGTTCCTTATCTCCCAGCTGACAGTCAGGGACAGTGACGCATACTACTGCACCTGGAGCAAACTGGACATGGAGAAAGCCCAGATGATAAACTACGACAGCAACGGCACAATGATCATTGTGAAAGGTACAGTCACAGAAGAAAGAAATGCTAGTGCATTTGGATAAGTGTGTCAGACTTACATCCTAATATACATTCCACAAATGATGTATCTCATTTAAAAGCACTAATTATTTTTTAGATTTTTAGATTAAAAACCTGTCCATCCAAGAATGAAATTAGTCCAATTTATCCTGAGTTAAGATTAACAAAGCTATATGAAAGATCAAGCAAGAGCAAAAGGCAAGACTACTATGTAGGAAATGAGTTTACATGCCTGCTAGGAGGACCTGCTACATCATTGTAGAACTGTAAGTGTGCGTTTCTGAAAAATATTTTTAGTTTACAATATCTTTATTACTTTCTTCTCCAGTGCATCACATGCTCTAATTTTGTCACCTTAAAAAATAGTTGATCTTATTTCTTAAAGTTTTGTGAACAAAACTACTTGAATTTAATTCCCTTTTCCATTTCTGTATTGCTGTCTTTCTGCATTTCTTCAAATGAGCAAGACGGACTGAACAGCCTCCTCTGCTTTGCAGCCTTTCTTATCAGTTTTGTCTTATCTCATCACGTTCTGCTCAGCTGCATGAAGCAGCTTTGAAAGCCACCATGGTAATCTTGATTTCATCTGACATAGAACACACAAATGACACAATCTCAAAAACCATGCTAAACAATTGTGCTTAGTAGATTACATATTAAGCAGACACAAGCAACTTGACCACATCAAGGGATGGTTGCAGCACGGATTCAACTCTGGTGCTCATCTAGCAGAAACACTCAGTTTAGAGTTCTGAACAGCATGCTGGTGCAGTGGTTAGCATCCCTGCCTCACAGCACTGTGGCCCAGTTCTGTTCCAGGGGTGCTATCTGCATGGAATTTGTATGTGTTCCCCCTGTTCATCTGGGTATTTCATCTGTTCTGCCCGTGTTCCCATACGTTTCTTCTGGGTGCTCTGGTTTTCTCCCAAAATCCAAAAACATACTGACAGGTTCATTGGGTTCTGGAAAAATTGGTCCTGGTGTTAGTGTGTGTTTTTGTCTATATGTGCCCTGTGATAGAGTGGCATCCCGTCCTGGGTGTGCCCTGCCTTGTGCCCATTGCTTCCTGGGAAAGGCTCTGGGTCTCCCACGGCCCTGATTCGGATAAAGCTGTTATAAGATGCATGAATGGATTTATGGGTAATCTTTTTCTTGACACGCAACACCTACTACTGTCCTCAGCCAGTCATCTGAAAGACATTGATGAAATAAGTACAGTTTGAGTCTGGATGTTTCTCTTTCAGTGAAGAGAAATAAAGCAGTTGTTAATGATACAACTGAAGACTCTAAAGTAATAGACTTTAGACTAGTAATAGACATAGATCGCCCCACAGGAATCGGTTTTGTATGTAAACAGAAAGCAACACTATCATGAAATGTAATTGCTTTTAAAAGTGGTCACCGTAGAATAGGTTTCTTATGAGACTGAAATTATAGTATAACCCATGTGCCTGTGAGCTGCTAAATGCAATTAAATATGAGATGTGTTTAAATGTTCACCAGAAGCTAAGCTGCAGGCATCAAAGTCATATACTACTGACCTGTTTCATTGTTTGGTCATTATTTTAATTTCACTATGTGCTTCTTTGACTGACTCAGGTGGTTTTAGCGAATATCTTGTAACATCAGGGTTCAAGTGTCTGGTCTCACTGAGGACAGGGGCTGAGTGTTCTAGTCTGGTGCTCTGCTCTTACAGGAGCGCTGGTGTCATTCTGCCCTGCCGTTAGATTTGAGTATGATTTTAAGTCACCCCGTAGTTTTGGAGGAACACTGTATCTTCTGTTTTTTGTTCCAGCCTTATTTTAATAACAGGGAAATTATTTTAGATTTTCTTTTTGAGACAACTTTTTACATTTGTTTTGCACTGTTAAAAAATTATGAGATTTGGAAATGGAATCAACCCTATGCCTGCTACTGAGTTTCAGAGCACCCTTCTGTTGTGTTCTCTTGTGGGAAATCTTGTTTATTCAAGTTCAAGAATCAGACATGAACCAGAGGTGAGTGCAAACCTCAGCTTACTGTTATTTTAACAAACAACACATGCCCACAAGAATGCAACCCAAACATTCTAAATTGTTTTCCACAGTCCTTCTAATCCCAATAACAGCAAGTCGCCACAGACATGCATAATACCCTTATTTAGGTTTGTCAGCTAAAACGGAATCAATTCCACTTAATAA